CTCCCCTATATATATATATATATATATATATATATATATATATATATTAGTTTAAAGCTCATAAGAGACTTAAACTAGACTGGTCAAACTAAATCGCCTTTTATGATCCGTTTTGATCAATTACGATCAAATTGTTCGGTTTATTTTTTTTCAAACCACCGCTACAGTTTCATTTATGATTCAAGAGATTAAACCATCTAAACCAGAACGTTAACAAGAACACTCATTAATTCATCAAACTGATGATTCATCTGATTCATCAATTATCTGATGCTTCCACTAAAGGACACGTGTTGACGTCGTCGCTATGCCACTGATTCCATTGTTTCAACTGCCATTTTTACAAATTTATGAAAATCTTAAATACATTAATTTATGCAAATTTCTAATTTTCTGGTTCCAGATGCATTATAAATTTGAAATAGTAATTTATACGAATCTGTTAAATAATATATTTTAAAAAAATTAATTAAAATAATCATATTTACTGGTTTGTTTCATCTATTAGCCACTTCTTTATAAGGTTTACAAACTAGTCCTAGGTCTGTAATTTTTAAATAAAATTTGTGGATCTGGGTGAAAAATGTAATTTTTTTCATAGACCTAAGTGAAAAATGTAATTTTTTTGCAAACCTAAGTGAAAAATGTAACTTTTTTTGCAGATAAAGATAGAAAATGTAATTTTTTTGTTTTTTTAGTTGGGTCCATAATTATAGATTTAAGTTCTATAGATTTATGACTATTTTAATAAATTTAAAGAAAAAATTGGACAGAGGGTGAAACCATCTTGAAAAATTACTATTATAATAAAAAATTTAACATTTTATAAGATTTAAACTCATTAGTTTAATAAATATTTAATAAAAACTTTTAGGGTAATAAAAACACTTGTTTTCATTTGTGTGGAATGTCCACCATGATCTGAATGTTTTCTCCTGCACCGCTGTCAGTTTATTGTTTTCTTCAAATGCATTAATTTTCATTCTGCCCCTGTTATTTGGCATATTTTCATTTGTATCCCTTCAACTTCAAAAACTTACATTTGAGTTACTAAAACTTCAAGATTTAACATAAAAACATTGGTTTCGTGTGAGACTGATTAAGGGGTTGTTTGGCAGTTGCGAAATGATTTGGTGCAGAATGATTAAGTGATCAAAATGATTAAGAGGCTCTCATGATATAGTTTAAAATGAAATATAATTGTTTGGTAACTGTTTATAATGAAATTATGACGTTTAATGGTTAAGGGAGACATTTGATACAAAATCATTCAGAGGGTTTTGAAACCATTAAGAGACAGACTCATTTTTTGCCAAAAAAGATTCACCTCTTAACGATTCAAAACTTGTCTCTTAATGAAACTATTAAGAGGTAAACAAACAACCCATAAGAAACATCATCATGTAACAAAGCAAAGGACTAATTGATCTTAAGACAATAAGCTGTAAGCAATGTAACAAATCAAATTCCAACTAGTAGAGTAGTATCACATGTTTAATACTTGGTTTTCACCAAATCTTGGAACCAACTAGCTGATCTTACCAAACGGTATTTGTTTTAGTGATATCCGGTAATCCAACTTTCATAAAGATTAAGGATTCCGACCTCACCAAAGACTAAAATGATTGTTTTCATGAATATCCGAAACTTATGCAAAGATGTGAACGAACAGATGAGGCGGACATAAGAACTACAAGTTAAAAACTCAAAGCCACAACGTACAAGTTACGAGAGTAGTAATGGTAATATGACAAAAAAACAAAAGAGTAGGGGGGTGAAGTGTAATATTGTCCCCATTTTTATACTAGCAGACATTCTAAGGGGAAGAACCTCATTCTCCATCCCACACTCCCAACTACCGGCGGCCGCGGCACCACCACCGTCATCTCCTCCTCCAAATTCCGTTAACGTTGAAGATATATGAACATAGTTATACATATATATAGATACAAATTCATATATTTATAGATGAGGTGTAAGAAGCACGCAACCGATCTCAGTACTGTCGTCGGCGTCTGCGCTTCTTGCCTCCGGGAACGCCTCCTCAGGCTAATCGCTGCTCAGGAACAAGCCGAGGCTCAATTACTGGCCAATAAGCACGGTAATTCGGACACAAATCCGGCGTTCCCGCGTTCTGTTTCACCGTACATCACTCGCCGGAAATCCGATAACTCGGTGGCTCCTGATGCAGCTGTACCACGGCCGTACAACAAGCCTCGCCTTCATCATAGCCTATCGGATCAAAGATTCTATAACTCGCCGCAGATAGCGCTTAGTACCGGAGGTTGCATCGGAAATACTTCTTCGAACAGGAAGAAACCGAGTTTAATTAGGTTCTCTTCATTTTCGAACTTGTTCAGATCTAATAATGGAAACGGAGATGCTGATTCGAGTTCTAGGGAACCGTGCGGTGCTGCTGGTCAACCGACGTCCGTGACGTCATCTCCGGCGTGGTTTTCAAACGTTCTTCCAGGTGGTGGCAGTAATCAGAAGAAGAAGAGCTCTGATGTCGACGAATCTTCAACAATCGCAGCTACCGGCGTCGTGCGGAAGCAGCGGTGCTATCGAAATCGTGGAATGTCGCCTGTGCGATCTTTTGACGACGGTGGAGAAGATGAATTCAGCGATGGATCAAGCGAATACGAATCCGTAGAATCATGTAAACAGACGCCGCGGAAGACTCCTTCTCATCCTACGATCCGTCGGGGCAGCGGTCATCGGAGTGTTTCTGAAATGATTTTCTGTTTGAGTCCGTTAGTGCGTGCAAGTCCTAACCGATTATGGAACCACAAAGGAAAACCACCGGTTGACGGCGGCGATGGCAGAGCTCCGGTGGTGCCTCACCTCTCCAACGCCAAGTCGTTTTGTGCCAACAGATCACGGAAGCTTGCCGATTTCGGGAGGTCTGATCCAAACCGTTGATTTTCTTGACCGTTAACATTGACCAAGTCACGGATCATATTGACCGCACTTAAAATTGCCAATCTGCCCTTATCTTTCCGTATTTTTTGTTTTATCTTTATAGATTTTTAATTTTCTGTGAATATTATTTCTGAATGAATTACAAGTATACCCTCCGCCTGCCAGCAGTTGATGATTGATTCGATCATTCGAAGGTCCATTTTCATTGACTTTTTTATGGATTAAAAAATAAAATAAAAAAACTTAAAACAAAAATTCTGGATTTATTTTTCGTATTTGAATAATTTATTTATCGAATGATACTTGCGCAATGCAGCGAGATATATCTCGATTTTAATGTTTCATTTTATTTAATTTCTGTGTCCGCCGATGTTATAATACGATGTTATGTAGTACCTAAAAAACGATAATGTTTTTAACTTTTTGAATAAAATATAAATTTGAAGGTATCATAAAATTTTGAAAAAAAATATATCGATTTTTATTCAGAATATGCATCAATAAACAGTACTTAATGCATAAAAAGTAGTTTTTAAGAATTTTTGTCAAAAACTTTATAATATACTATAGATAATCTTATGCGAATTTATATGAGATTTAAGATTTATCTATATTAATGTTTGATTTTTTTTGATAAAAAAACATATGACATATTTACATTTTTTTCTAAACAAACGTGATTTTTGACATAAATCCGAAACCTATATGTTTAGTAGAATTGGTTCAGATGTCTTTATAAGCTCGTCTCAATCAAAAAATTGTGGGCAAAATAGCAAGTTTTAGTTTATGGTTTGCTATAAAAAATGAATTCTCTGTAATAGTTTTCATGTTAGTTCTAAAATATCATTTTTATTAATACAAACTGATGTAGACATAATTTTTGACGTGTATATATGTTACTGACCGACTTACAAGTTTGGAAAGGCGAAGGAAAGGCCCACTCAAATGTCAATTTTTAAAAATAATGAAGGTAAAGAAACCTCCCGTCATTTTCAATGGATCCCCTCAGTAGTCCGTTTTTGACGAAACCTCCACTCCTTTGCTTACCAGTGATTCTCCATGTATATAGTTACCGCTAGTTTTTGTAATCATGTTATATATACTATATTATAATACATTTGACAAAAACTCTTAAAAACCATCTTTTATACATGAAGTACCGCATATTGATGCATATTACTTAGAATTCAAGATTACAAATAAATTATGCATAAGTACAACTTATTAAGCTCCATATTTGAATTCGTGTAACTAACTGTGGATAAATATAATCAAATATATGATAAAATTCTCGTTTTAAATATATATAAAAATATAATTAGAATAATTATTGAGTTCCAACAGAATACTTATTTATTATTTTTATAAAAACTATATTATTAAACCAAAAACAAATTACATCGTCATTAAAACAAAATTAAATTATAATAAAAAATTTGAATTAAAGAAACTATACAAAAAAATTGAGAAATTTTATACATATTTTTTAGTTTTTATAATATCTTCAAATTTATATTTAAAAAACATTATTGCTTGCTCAAAATCATATAAATTCATATCATAATATTGACAGAGACCAAAAAATAAAACGGAACATTAAAATAGAGATATATCTCGCTGCATTGCGCGAATAACCTTCTAGTAATAATAACGTTGATCGATGGTTTTGTTAAATGTGTGTCAATTGTTTGTTCTTTAAGTTAAAAGATAATTTAATTCACCTAATGTTGATTTTATATATGCTTAAACCAATTCATCTGCCAAAAAAAGTTATATAAATTAAATAATAGTATAATTTGCTATTCGGTTAATCGATATTGTAAAAAAAATAATCAAAATTTGAAACTTACATCATTTGGTTAACCAAACCGTTTAACCCGCAAACCGAATAACTGGATTCCATTTTGGGTTGGATGAGTTATTCGGTTTTGGATTCTTTTAAACCTCTAACATCTCCAATCATCTAAGTTTTTAGACTCGCCATTGATGTGTGTCTGTATATATATATATATATATATATATATAGACTTGGGATCACGTGAGACCAACATGTTTTCGTGAGACCCGTGAGACCAACTTTTTACATTTGAAACTTCACAGCAAAATACTGTGAAGGTAACATTCACAGTGTTTTTGCTGTGAAGGTTCGACTTTTTTAAACCTTCACAGCGTTTTTGCTGTGAAGTTTCAAGTGTAAAAATGTGGTCTCACGGGTCTCACGAAAACAGTCTGGTCTCACGTGAACCCAACCCTATATATATATATATATATATATATATATATATATATATAGTTTGTTTCAAATACAACCCGTCGCATTTGTACAACCAAATAAATTGAGATATTTATGGAAATGATGAGAGTTCATTTATTATGATTTGAATATTTATGGAAAATGAATATGGTTCATTAATTATGATCAATACTTTATATTAGGAAACAATCAAAACTTCTATGAAATCATATATTAATCAAATCAAATGGACGGTTGAGATTGAGTTGTATTGGTTGCACAAATGTCAAGGGTTGTATAATAACCAACCTCTATATATATATTACTAATACTGGAAACCTATATTTGTAATAACAAACGAAGCTAAATTTACGTGAGTTTGTATCCAAGGTTAAGAAAATTACTGAAGCAACAACAAATATACATATAATTACGTAATTTATTGATTAAATAATTCATAGTTTCATACTAAGGGTTGGGTTCACGTGAGACCAAAAGTTTTTCGTGAGATCCGTAAGACTAAATTATGTTCATTGATCAACTTTATAAGCTAATGATCTAATGGTCTAAAGTTGCACGGTGACAATTTTGTAATTATTGAAAAATCTCGTGGCATTTATGAATGTTCATATTGTAAGAGTGTAGATTTAATCCAAGAGTTGAGAATTGGTATTAGGGGTCTCACGAAAAATCTTTGATCTCACATGATCCCACATGATCCCAAATATTCATACTAATGTTGATATTATCCAATATATATATTATATATATATACCCATCATCTTTATAGTAATTGATTTACTCTGAATGTCTATTCATATAGATATCTTAACAAAATAATTTATGCTATGATAAGATAAGGTGATTTTTAAAAATAGCCCATAGACTTGATAATCATCTTCTTTAACGAATTTTTCAAAACTGTTGCCTGATAAAATAAGTATATCATAAATCATAAGGGTGGTGTTTGATTGGTTTGAGTTTGGCTCCAAAGGTCAAAAGTGTCAGGAGGTCTCAGGTTTAAATCCAAAAAGGAATAAAAATCTCCTTGTAGCCACGGAGGTTCAAATACGGTGACTCCGGGCTATTTGCAAAGCAGGTGGTCGTCCTGGGATTAGTCGGCTCGCATAGCGGGTTGGATATCTAGGTTAATAAAAAAAAGCAATAGGACGTTTGTTGATTCCATCTAAATGCAGTAATAAAATATGGAACTAAATGAATCACCATGAAAACTTTCATCTGGAAACATAGTGAACTGTTAATCAATAAATGCAAACCTTAATCTTTTATTTAATTTTTTTATACAGAAGTTTAATAAATCACACAAACTGTTCCTAATATTTACATATAAACCGTACATTTGAATTTAACAGTTTAATTCAATTCAACCGTTAATTATATTGCTCCTATAATAACAAACATGATAATGAAATGTAATAATCCTTCTAATTATATTGCTCGATCGTTTGATTCATTCGTCATTTGATTAAATCGAATTGCTACATTGCTTTAGGGTTGGTTGATTGTGTTACAAGTTAAATGGTAATTATATGGTGTGGGGAAAAGAGTGTGGAATTGAATGAAGTGTGTATTATAAGTTGCAATAATGAGTGTTTTTTTTTCCATTTGAAGTCAAACCAATATATATCTCACACATTCATTGTCATGTGAAGAACTTGGCTTTTTGGTATGATGTTATGTGATAACTGGTTTATCGGTTATAAAAGTTTGGGGTTATTTTTGAATAAGAATGGTAAGTTGAGGGATTTAATGTGTTAATATGTTGAAAATAATCTAATTATCTTCACCGCCTTATTTGTTTATATGATTATTTGATGAGATATTTTATATATCTCATTGGGGGATGGTAAAATAAAAAAGGTGGGTGAGAAAAAGCTTCTGGGTGTGTGTTCTGTTGTGTGCAAAACAAACAAAAACCGAAGAAGGAAAGCTAGTAGAAATGGATTATGTGATTATTGCATCTGATTAATTGTTGTTGTTGTTGTTTGCATATCTCCTTGTGATTATAAGATGAGTATTATTTATAAACTTTCATTTTACAGTGATATACAACCGTATGGTTCTTTATGTGGGAAAGTTTTGAGAACTGTTATTATGCTATTTTTAGCATAATATTATATTTTGATATGTTAATATCAAATGATTGGAATAAGAGTGATATAATCAGGAGAGATGTATTTTGGATATAAGGGTGGTATGGTCAGGAGATGTGTTTTTTGGGATAAGAGTGACATAATCAGGAGAGACATATTATGAGATAAGAGTGACATATCATCTATATATGAAAACTGGGTTTTTTTTATCAAGTTGATGACTGTTGTCGCATTTTTATGATGCGATGACTTTGAATTATCACATCATATTGATACGATAAGTTGCTTTTATCGCATCCTTGTGATGCGAGGAGACTGTTTGTCGCATCACTGTGATGCAACAAATTGAGTTTATCGCACCAGTGTGATGCAATGAGATAGGGTCCTTATACCAGTGTGTTGCGAGAAAAATAAGGTTGTCTCACTTAATATGTGTTTATCGCACCAGTGTGATGCGACGAGATAAGATCCTGCACCAACGTGTTGCGAGGAATGGGGTTGTCTCACCAAAGTGATGCGAGAAAATTATAGTTTTATCTATATGATGCGATAAGTTTGTGTTATGTGAAAAATGTTTTATTTGGTTGTTTGACACGATAAATAGGTGATGTCTCATCTTATTGAAGTGACAAAAGAGATTTGTTTGATAAAACGTTGTTTATTTGTTAATTATACAAATATGAGTTCATATAAGTGTTTTTGGTGATTTTCACCTTATAATAACAATCAAATGGATTTTTCACTAGACCTTATGATCTAACTCTTATTTTGGTGTTTTAAAATATGCATTACCACGTCGGACACAATCGGATGAT